GCAACCCTCGGTGTCGCACCCGCACCTCGCTCAGCCAGTGAGCAGCCGGTCTGTATGTGGGATCCGAACCCTCGGCGGGAGCGCCGCTGCGCTCCCAAGTGGCGCACTGTAGCAGTGCGCCACCAGGCCGGCCCTATACTGACATTTAAACAATAATTAATGTCCACTAAAAAACATACATAGCATTATGCTTACAAACTAGAGTTGTAAATGGATTTTATTTTCTCTCAAATTATTTTTCTTTTTTTTCCCCTCTGAGTTGTTTATTCCCTTATTTTCTTTCAATTTAATGGATGTTTTACTGATTGTCAGTAGGGATAGTATAAGCAACGTATAATCATATAAATTTTTCCTCAAGCAAATTTATTGTGGACTATATGACTTATTTATAAATGTCTTCCATTTAAATGTGGCCTTGACTTTCAAAATGGTGTCAGCTGGTCACATTGCTCTGCTCTACTTAAATCTTTCAAAGTCGGGCCGGCCTGTGGCTCACTCGGTGTTTAACACCAAGGACCCGGGTTCGGATTCCATATAGGGATGGCCGGTTGGCTCACTGGCTGAGCGTGGTGCTGACAACACCAAGTCAAGGGTTAAGATCCCCTTACTGGTCATCTTTTAAAATAAATAAATAAATAAATAAATCTTTCAAAGTCTCCCCATAGTTTGGTATAAAATTCAACTCTTGAGTTTTGTACCCAAGGCCCTTCATCATGAGGCCCCATCTGGGTCTAGGACCTCCAACACTTACATCTGTTGTTTCAGCCTCATCAGACTATCTGGAGTTCTAGGCGGTTTTACACAATAATGTCTTCTATCCTACCACCTGCTACTCCCTCTTTTAAAAATTACCTTTCATACTACTTCTGTTAACCACAATATAACTAATTATTCAGGTGTCATATCCCAGCAGAAACTTGCTTGATTCCCATAGTTCAATTTTTTTTATATAAATTTATTATTTTTTGAACAAAGCGCAATGATTTTTTTTTTTCCTTTTTGTCTTTTTTCGTGTCCGGCAACGGATCGCAATCCTCACTGTCGCGCCCGTACCGGACCGGGACCGGCAACGGGATTGCAACCCTCGGTGCTGCGTCCACACCTCGCTCAGCCAGTGAGCTGCCAGTCTGTATGTGGGATCCGAACCCTCGGTGGGAGCGCCCCCACACTCCCAAGCAGCGCAATGTAGCAGTGCGCCACCGGGCTGGCCCCCAAAGCGCAATGATTTTTAAATCTTCTTAAACAAATAACTATGAAAATAGTACTCAAAAAAAATAAAATACGAATGAAAAATGTAACCATCAGATTGGTTACTTCTTTTTTTTTTTAAAAGATGACCAGTAAGGGGATCTTAACCCTTGACTTGGTGCTGTCAGCANACCCTCGGTGGGAGCGCCCCCACACTCCCAAGCAGCGCAATGTAGCAGTGCGCCACCGGGCTGGCCCCCAAAGCGCAATGATTTTTAAATTTTCTTAAACAAATAACTATGAAAATAGTACTCAAAAAAATAAAATACGAATGAAAAATGTAACCATCAGATTGGTTACTTCTTTTTTTTTTTAAAAGATGACCAGTAAGGGGATCTTAACCCTTGACTTGGTGCTGTCAGCACCATGCTCTCCCAAGTGAGCTAACCGGCCATCCCTATATAGGGATCCAAACCCTTGGCCTTTGGTGTTATCAGCACCACACTCTCCCAAGTGAGCCATGGGCCGGCCCTAGATTGGTTACTTCTAATTTACCCTAGGCTCATATTTAGTCTAGAAAACAAAACTTTCAAGTATTACCTAATAGAATGATTTTAGCATAAATTTAGCACATGCATTTCAAGGTCCCAAAGCTAGGAATTTTGTTAAGATCCGTTTAATCATGAATAACACTATATAAAAGAGCATAAGGAACATACATCAGCACGCTGGCTGCTTCAGCTGCTCCAGCTGTGGCTAAATTGGCCCTGGGTATGGCTGGACCTGTGGCTTTGGAAAATATAAGCAGGAAGCCTTGGCAGCGTCCACATTGTGCTAGAACTGCAGGCTTACAGAATGCCAGAGCTGTGAAGGCTTGGGAGCCTCCAGCCCGATTTCAAAGAATGTATGGAAAGCCTGGAGGCCCAAGAAGAGATCTGTCCCAGGGGCAGAGTCACCGCAGACAGCCTTCACTAGAGCAATGCTGAGTGGAAACGTGGAGTTGGAGTTGCAGCCGAAAAACCCACTCAGCACTATGCCTAGTGGAGCCGTGAAAGCAGAACTGCCATGGAGACCCTAGTTTGGTGGAGCTACCAGCATGCAATGCCAGCCTGGGAAAGCTGAAGCATAGTCTCAGACTAGAAAAGCCATGGAAGCAGAGTTGCCGAAGTACTTGGGGACCCAACCCCCACACCAGCGTGCAGAGGACATTAAACATGCGGTCAAAGTACATGATTTGCCAGCTTTGAGATTTAATGCCTGCCCTGCTCGGTTTCAGACTCACTTAGGACCTATCATCCCTTTTGCCTATTTCTCCTTTTTTTGTATGGGAATATGTACCCTACGTTTGTCTTACCGTTGTATCCTGGAAGTATATAACTTGTTTTGATTTCACAAATGGGATTCTGAACTTTGTACTTTTGAGTCAAAACAAGTTAAGAATTTGGGGATGAAATGAATGTATTTGTAGGTGAAAAGGACATGAGTTTTTTGGGGACAGGGTGGAATACAGTGAATTGAATGGCCCTCCACAGTCACTGGTGTTTAATCCCCTCTGTAACTGTTAAGAGGGTGGGAAATCCTATTGTGGTAGTTGAAAGGTGGGGCCTTGAAGAGGTGATTAGATTGTAAGGACTATGCTGTAGTGAATGGATTAACAATGGTGGTCACAGGGTGGTTCTGAGGGCTTTAAAAGAAGAGCACTTGAGAGTCTCTCTCTCTGCTTCCACCATCTTGCAATGTAATACCCTGTGTCACTGAAGCTACCACCAAGGAAGACCCTCACCAGACGGACTTCCCAGCCTCTGAAACTGAAACTGTAAGCAATAAATTTTGTTTTTTTACAAATTAAAAAAAAAAAACCAAACGTGCCTCACATATGTAAATTATTTTCAATTCCACAGGGACACAATGACATCATAGTAATGCAAGCTACTACGATATCATTATTTATAAATGTTACCAAACTAAACAATTCAAGGATTTATTCCTTGTTAAGTATATGCTTATTCCTGCTATTACATGCTTATTCTGGCTGCTATTAAAGGACTCAGGAGAGGCCCTTATCAGAACTATTTTTTAAAATTTTTTTGAAAGAATATATGCACCTTAAGATTAAAAATATTTCCGTCATCTCATATATCCTTATGGTCCTTCCTAGTTAATCCACCCACTGCTGAAATCACTATTCCAACTTCCATCATTGTTAGTTTTACTTCTGTTCTTTAACTTTATATAAACAGAATTTTACAGATGTATTCATTTCTGTTTAGCTACTTTTGCTCAATATGAGGTTAGCCATATCATACCTTATAAAAATAGAAAAAATAAAGATCACAAATAATAAATGTGCAGGGTTGTGCCTACTTAATTCTATAAAATGCCTAGCATGGGCTTATAATAAATGTTTTCATATATATATATATTACACTTCAGAGTTGTTTAAAGATGGAATAGGCTATCTTTAGAGAAAACTTGGAGGTATTTTTAACCACAGTCCAGATAAGTACTTGGTGGGGATGATGCAGAAGAGATTCAGGCATATATACAAATTATACATCCCAATTTAGAGTACAAGGTATTAGTGTGTGTGTGTGTGTGTGTGTGTGTGTGCGTGTGCGTGTGCGTGTGTGCATGTGTGGCAGCTGGCCAGGACAGGGCTTGAACCCTGGACCTTAGTGTTATCACACCATGCTCTAACCAACTGAGCCAACTGGCCAGCCAACATGATATTTTTAGAAAATGATAAATTAGTCCTAGCTAGACTCACCTTTGTGGTGTCGTGTGCATTCAATATGCCTTCTACGATGTCAGAGAGAGCCATATGTAATTCCTTTAAAAAACAGCAACACAAATGAGTAATTAGAAAAGAGTAAGTAAATATAATCTTTATTTTATCATTCAGTGGCTAAAGTATACAGTATGTTGATCAAGTATTTTTTTAATTACCATAAGTAGGTTCTCATATTTGCTTTAAAATTAAGATAATTTTCCTGTTGTTTTATTCTTACTTTATACAGTAAGTTAAGTTTATTAATCTTTTCTAAGCCAAACTCTCTTCCTAATTTTGCATCATCAGCTATGAATATTTTCAATAGCATAATATAGCAACTAAAAGCAATAATAAATTATTTTCTCCTTTGTCACTCACTCCATTTTCCTGTTGGAATTTTATATGCAATAAGATGTACACAACCAGAACTTACAGGAATATCATCGGTGCGGTTGTCCTTCCAGACCTCTAAAAGTGCAACCACCATGTCTCTCAGTTCAACCCTGGAGAGAACTCCATCATGGTCAATATCAAACACCTTGAAGCAAACTAATGAAAAGAAACTCTTATGGATGGAAATTATTTTTATATTCTGAAGTATAATACGTTTTACTAGAATCTGCCCTTGTATAATTACTTAGTTTCTCAAGCAAGTATATCCTGAAGCAGACTAGCTACGTCATTTTAGTCCTCAGAACGTGTAGGATTTCCTCCACATTCTTCATGAATTTCTCTCTCTGAATCATTACTGAGGTTGAGGGAACTCTATCTTTCAGCCAAATATAGAACTGAATTCCTTACAAACTGGGAAGAAAGGACTGTCACTATTTATTAAAAATTATAATACCTTACAGGTTTTGAGGAGGTAATGCAAGCCCTTAAGTTAACTTCTGATATTCAGACCTGATCATTGTATGCTTAAAATATACCATCTACACTGAAAATCAGTAACAACAAGCTGGTGTTAAAGATAGCCTGCTTCCACTTTACCTACCCAATTTTACTAAGGTACACTCAGATTCTTTTTAAAAATTTCAACTCTTCAATAAAGTTCACACACAACATGCTAAGAATTAGAAAATCAGCACTTTGCTAGTTAACTCCAAGTGAATGGTTCTAGTTTACTTCCATTAGTTCATCAGCAAAAAAGAAATTTAAAAAATAAAAAATTTTAAGGCAATAATTAACCCTAATTGAGAAGCAGAGATTTCAGCCTCCTTATTTAACATTAAATTTTAATGGCAATAATAATGTATCGTAAGGACAGTTTGGAATAACGGTACATCAATGGGGAATAAAAAAAGAAATCTGAATTTTTAAGATTAAAAAATTGGAGCTGGCTGCATAACTCAGTTGTTTAGAGTGTGGCCTCGTAACACCAAGGTCAAGGGTTTGGATCTCCATGCTAGCCAGCTGCCAAAAAAATAATAATATTAAGATTACAAAGTTACCTATCTCTAATAAAACAAAAAAATAAAAAGAGAGAATAAAAAAAAATTTTTTAAGTTATCTATCTCATATACCCCACCATAATAGAATAATTATGGTATTAAATCAACTGAGTGCATCCTAGTACAATATTACTAAATAAGAGAAAAATATCAAACACCACACCCAAAATAGGCAACATTTTGTGAAGTTCTATTTTAGAAAGACACAGAGATAATGACCCCAGTAAATATATTTATGTTCCAATTAAATGTAAACTGCTGTATTTTCTCAAATATGGTTAAGATTTAATAATGCAATATACTTATGCTTATAAATTATGCTATAAAAACATTTTAGCTAGGTTAAAAAGACCATTTTAGTATTTAATAAAATTGTGTTTTGATCTTAAATTTAATTTTGCCAATGAAACATTAATGTGTACAAGTGACAGAAAATGAGTTATAATTCAAACTATGCAAGACACAAAATTCTCTATATAGACTACCAGAATATTTTTCCTAAATGCTTAAAATTTTCAAATATGACATGGCTGATTTGGTTCATTTATCATAAATTACAAATTCTTCAGGAAAATTAACCCCACTGCTAATAGCGAAGATCCCAAACTACTCCACAGTTAAAAAGAATACATGATTGATATTTTAGAACGACTTCTAAAAAACTGCAACATGAGATCAATATTTACCAACCTAACAAAGTTATGAAAATTCAAGCTTTTATCCACAGATGATTTTACATGAGGGACAGTTGATTTTCCCTCTACATAGTTTGCAATTTTTGTGGCAATGTTTAACACACTTACATTTTTGCCTTTCAGCCAGGGGTCCCCTGCAACAGGCTGATAACCCACAAGATATCTCCTTAAAATCTATGTGATTGTCACGATTTTCATCAAAAGCATTAAATAAACCTGTAAAATAGGAAAAGACACCATAAATCACAGCCAATAAACTTCCTAATGCTAATATTGACTTGTTTACAAAAGGAGAAATGACTTTTTCCCATAAACTGGCTGAATCTTTTTAAAAAAATATTTATCAGTAGTTCCCAATGTCTCAGGAAGAGTTTCTTTTTCTCTTGGTTTAATTATAACTGACAGTTATGATCCTAGCAGAAAACACATTACAATCCTTCAATGTTTGGTTACATCTGTCTATATCTATCTAGTATAAATTCTAACAGTTGAAAATGCCTATCTGTTTTAAAAGTCAATACATAAAAATTAAGAGCCAAAAAAAGGAAGTCACAACAATTATCAGAAGTTACACCACTTATACTTACTTAGAAAGATTGAGAAGAAAAAGGAAAAAAGAGAGAAAAACTGTTTATTAAACAAATACTCAAAGGTATACTATGATATCATTAATAAGGTCCCATAAAGTTCTTTCATGAAGTAAATATTACTACTACAAGAGAGAAAGAAATTCTCTACTACAGCCTCTTCTTCATACTACTTAACTTTTACACATGAATATTTAAAATTTCAGAACTAAAAGGGAATTTATAATGTAATCCTGTGGTTTTCAAACTTTTTGGAAAAAATAGAAATGGAATAATTTTGTTTTCAAACAAAATAACATATCAATCTCCAATTCTAAAAAAGTAAAAACACAACTGTACTGTTGAAGTAAGTGGAAACCAAGAGCCCTATCTGTTCTGGCTCCCCTGACAAGTATTTCCGAAGTACCCTAGGAATCTGAAGAATACAGACTGTATATTCCAAGAATCTAATTCAGTGCCCTCAGTTTTTTTTTTTTTTTTTAATTGTCTTTTTCGTGACCGGTAAGGGGATCGCAACCCTTGGTGTGGTGTCACCCGCACCGCGCTCAGCCAGTGAGCGCACCGATCCGAACCCACGGCGGAGCGTCGCTGTGCTCCCAGCGCCACACTCTCCCAAGTGCGCCACAGGGCCGGCCCAGTGCCCTCAGTTTAAAGATTAGAAAACTAAAGCTCAGAGGGGGTTAAGTGATTTGCCATAAGTTAAAAAAGGTCAGCACTGAAAGCAGAACCCAAGTATTCAGACTCTAAATATAATTTTATGTCACCTACAATTACTCCTTCTATTCTTTTTTTTTTCTTCTTTTAAAAAAATGTCATAGCAGTAAGTTTTGAGCTAGAAGGAACCTCATGATGGTCTAATCTAGTAGTTTCTTAAAGGAGTCATTTGTAGAAACCTGGAGCTCAGCCCATTCAATGGCCATCACCTCAGTCTCTACAACGCCTGCTAATGTACCATACTGCACCACAATTTCATAACACTGACTTAGTCAAACTAACTTATACATGAGTATATTCAGGTGCAGAGAGCTAAACTGATTTAAGGAAGCTTACACAGGTAGAATATGAAGCTCAAGATTATAGTGTTAATTCCCAGTTTAGTTTTTTAAGTTTTTTCCCACTACACTACATGATTTGTATGAAACTTGCAAACGAGGGCTGGCAGTTAGCTCACTTGGTTAGAGTGTGGTGCTGATAACAACAGGGTCAAGAGTTCTGGTCAGCTACTAAAAAAAATAAAAAAAGAAAGAACAAACCTTGCAAACCTGTAAGAATATGACCTTTTAGAGTTAAAATGTGTTGGTTATAAAGAAGAGACGGGCTCAGGTGTTTTTATCAATGAACATTGGTAAAAAATGTAATGATTCCTACCTTCACTTAGAGGTGGACGAATAGGTGGTGAAACCAATGGGCCAAATGTCTCTAAATCAAACCGTCCAGTCCGAGACTGAGCCTTCAGCAACCAATAGCGTTTCTCAAGATCAATGATGTCTGATTCTTCTACTGTGAGTCAAATCAAACAAGATTATAAAACCTCAGAATTCTCTTCTGGGTAGGTAGTACATCCTGATAATATATCTTCCAAGGATATATTTTAATTTCCCAACTCAATTGCTAAAAATAATCAGGACCAAAAACAAAACTCTGGAGGATAAACTTATTATATTTACAATGGCAGAAAAATTAAATCAAAATGAGTAAAAGGAGGCTTTGAAATAAGGAAAAAAAATTCTGCAATTTCCCATTAAGCACACTGCTTAAATCCAATACGTAAAATAATGTATGAAGGTACTTCACAAAGTTCATGGAAAAATAGAATTAAAATATAATACAATCTTTCCACGAACTTTTTGAAGCCCTCTGTACAACTGAGCCAATTCCTCCGTGTTTCCCACATTACTTTCATCTCTACTCATTTTTGTTAACTTTTAATCTTTATCTTGGATTTAAAGTTTCTGTGACATCTTCTCTCCTGGCTGCACTGTAAACATCGAAATGGCAGGACCCGTGTCTAATTAATCCTGTCAATATGGTAACTGACTTACACATTCAAATGAAAAGATATATGAATCCACATACTTAGCCATGTAACATTCACAATGTCTAGCATCCAAAGAAAACAAGAAAGAAGGAGGAAAGAGTGACCCCAGATCAGGATAAAAATTAGTCAATAGAAAAGGATCTAGAAATAACAGACAATGGAATTAGCAGAGAAGGCTTTAAAATATCTGTTATAAATATCTCAAAAATTAAAGAAAAACATGAATAGGGCTGGCCCGTGGCTCACTCGAGAGAATGTGGTGCTGATAACACCAAGGCCCCGGGTTCGGATCCCATATAGGGATGGTCGGTTTGCTCACTGGGTGAGCGTGGTGCTGACAACACCAAGTCAAGGGTTAAGATCCCCTTACCAGTCATCTTTAAAAAAAAAAGAAAAACATGAATACCTTGAGGAAAGAAATGGCATCTATAAAAAAAAACTATCAACTAGAACTATTAGTTCTAGTAGTTCTACATCATAATTTGTAATACATAATTAACTGGTATTAACATAATACGGTAAAGTAGAACACAGAAAAATGATTTTTTTTTTTACTTTGAAAACTGTATCAATCTCCTTTAAAAGACACAATTTCTTTGCTAAAGTAGAAATGCAAAAACACAAGTGGAACATATTTAGAAGGAAAAATTATCAGACTAGTCATGGTCACCAATTAAAACCATGTTTAAGCTTGTGTGATCTGTTCATTTTCTGGATACAGACTGCAAATTCATTAATCAAACATCTGCCAAAAGCAAGCAAAAGTAAATTATATATAGCATGCTATTATTACCAAATGTTTTATATGAATTGGCAGCTCAATTGCTGGGAGAAACGAATTCAACTAACCTTATTTTTCACTTAAAGAAGTAAGAGGCAGTAATTTCAGTAGTTAACCTTTCTATTTACAATTTGTAAATAAATACCAAAACACATATTCTACTGCCTAAATAAGAATGAATTTATCACCCACCTATAGGTATGATTTTTCCTGGGTCACGACAGCAGCAAACCATGTTCCCAACATTCTAAATAGTTCTTGGCCCACACTTTGGGCCATCCTAATCAAGTCTCACCTCACTGAAGGTTCTAGCTGCAGAAATAGTTCTTTAAGGCCAAAAGTGGATCCTCATTAAAAAAAAAAAAAAAAAAAAAAAAANGTATTCAGACTCTAAATATAATTTTATGTCACCTACAATTACTCCTTCTATTCTTTTTTTTTCTTCTTTTAAAAAAATGTCATAGCAGTAAGTTTTGAGCTAGAAGGAACCTCATGATGGTCTAGTCTAGTAGTTTCTTAAAGGAGTCATTTGTAGAAACCTGGAGCTCGGCCCATTCAATGGCCACCACCTCAGTCTCTACAACGCCTGCTAATGTACCATACTGCACCACAATTTCATAACACTGACTTAGTCAAACTAACTTATACATGAGTATATTCAGGTGCAGAGAGCTAAACTGATTTAAGGAAGCTTACACAGGTAGAATATGAAGCTCAAGATTATAGTGTTAATTCCCAGTTTAGTTTTTTAAGTTTTTTCCCACTACACTACATGATTTGTATGAAACTTGCAAACGAGGGCTGGCAGTTAGCTCACTTGGTTAGAGTGTGGTGCTGATAACAACAGGGTCAAGAGTTCTGGTCAGCTACTAAAAAAAATAAAAAAAGAAAGAACAAACCTTGCAAACCTGTAAGAATATGACCTTTTAGAGTTAAAATGTGTTGGTTATAAAGAAGAGACGGGCTCAGGTGTTTTTATCAATGAACATTGGTAAAAAATGTAATGATTCCTACCTTCACTTAGAGGTGGACGAATAGGTGGTGAAACCAATGGGCCAAATGTCTCTAAATCAAACCGTCCAGTCCGAGACTGAGCCTTCAGCAACCAATAGCGTTTCTCAAGATCAATGATGTCTGATTCTTCTACTGTGAGTCAAATCAAACAAGATTATAAAACCTCAGAATTCTCTTCTGGGTAGGTAGTACATCCTGATAATATATCTTCCAAGGATATATTTTAATTTCCCAACTCAATTGCTAAAAATAATCAGGACCAAAAACAAAACTCTGGAGGATAAACTTATTATATTTACAATGGCAGAAAAATTAAATCAAAATGAGTAAAAGGAGGCTTTGAAATAAGGAAAAAAAATTCTGCAATTTCCCATTAAGCACACTGCTTAAATCCAATACGTAAAATAATGTATGAAGGTACTTCACAAAGTTCATGGAAAAATAGAATTAAAATATAATACAATCTTTCCACGAACTTTTTGAAGCCCTCTGTACAACTGAGCCAATTCCTCCGTGTTTCCCACATTACTTTCATCTCTACTCATTTTTGTTAACTTTTAATCTTTATCTTGGATTTAAAGTTTCTGTGACATCTTCTCTCCTGGCTGCACTGTAAACATCGAAATGGCAGGACCCGTGTCTAATTAATCCTGTCAATATGGTAACTGACTTACACATTCAAATGAAAAGATATATGGTAAAGGATGTTATAAGTAACTAAGTCAATAAACAACAAATAAGGTGGGAGTAGGATTCACAATGTGATAGGTGCCAGGAAAATCATGAAAGTATAAACATCTTTCTCTCTTCATTCATCAGAAGATATATCAAAAATCACAGATAAGCTGCAACCAGTTACATTTTATATGGCTTTTTTTTTCCTCCAAAGAACTAAAGTAAAATTTAGGAAGCACATATAAGACATTTTTTCTCAAAAACAGCAACCAAAGTAATACTATTAAAATGTAAATCTGGGAATTTCTACTTCTGGCCATAATGGAGTAACTAGCACCAGATTTGCCATCTTGCCATAAATGACTAGAAAACTGCACAAAATATATAAAACAATTGTTTCTAGAAATTAGAGAACTGGCATTGCAGGACTTTTATCTCCATGAGAAAGGAAACAAATAAGGTGAGCCCTTCCATTTGTTGCCCTGGCTTTCTGCCTACTGTCACTTTCCAGACCTTAGCAAGGGATGAGGAACCTAAATAGAGAGATTTCACTAAGTCAAGAACAAAGTTTGGAGGGAGGATGAGGTAGCTGAAATTTGCAGAACAGAGTACTAGAGAGGAAAAGGTTATGCAAAGAAAGAGTTCCAGAAATCTCCACAGGTGTCTTGTTAATTCTGGCAGAATACTATGCTGTGTATGCACAGTGTGAGGCTGGGCTAGGAACAAATGCTGGGGAAGTGTAAGCTGAAAAAATTCCCTGAGTGTATACAGGGCTGGGAGATGTCTTGAGTTCAGACCAACCAGAGTGGAGACACCTTGTTAAACAGAAGGAGCACTCGCAGACTGCAGAGGGTCACTACATAATTAGTAGGAAAAACTAACTCTAGAGTAAAGGCTAATTCAGACTTGTGCCAATAAACCTTAAAAATAATCCTTAAAAATATCAAGCTGATCCACAAGTAACTTAACTGTCTATCAAAACAAAACACAACTTCTTTTTTTAAAGGAAGACAACAAAATCCACATACTTAGCCATGTAACATTCACAATGTCTAGCATCCAAAGAAAACAAGAAAGAAGGAGGAAAGAGTGACCCCAGATCAGGATAAAAATTAGTCAATAGAAAAGGATCTAGAAATAACAGACAATGGAATTAGCAGAGAAGGCTTTAAAATATCTGTTATAAATATCTCAAAAATTAAAGAAAAACATGAATAGGGCTGGCCCGTGGCTCACTCGAGAGAATGTGGTGCTGATAACACCAAGGCCCCGGGTTCGGATCCCATATAGGGATGGTCGGTTTGCTCACTGGGTGAGCGTGGTGCTGACAACACCAAGTCAAGGGTTAAGATCCCCTTACCAGTCATCTTTAAAAAAAAAAAGAAAAACATGAATACCTTGAGGAAAGAAATGGCATCTATAAAAAAAAACTATCAACTAGAACTATTAGTTCTAGTAGTTCTACATCATAATTTGTAATACATAATTAACTGGTATTAACATAATACGGTAAAGTAGAACACAGAAAAATGATTTTTTTTTTTACTTTGAAAACTGTATCAATCTCCTTTAAAAGACACAATTTCTTTGCTAAAGTAGAAATGCAAAAACACAAGTGGAACATATTTAGAAGGAAAAATTATCAGACTAGTCATGGTCACCAATTAAAACCATGTTTAAGCTTGTGTGATCTGTTCATTTTCTGGATACAGACTGCAAATTCATTAATCAAACATCTGCCAAAAGCAAGCAAAAGTAAATTATATATAGCATGCTATTATTACCAAATGTTTTATATGAATTGGCAGCTCAATTGCTGGGAGAAACGAATTCAACTAACCTTATTTTTCACTTAAAGAAGTAAGAGGCAGTAATTTCAGTAGTTAACCTTTCTATTTACAATTTGTAAATAAATACCAAAACACATATTCTACTGCCTAAATAAGAATGAATTTATCACCCACCTATAGGTATGATTTTTCCTGGGTCACGACAGCAGCAAACCATGTTCCCAACATTCTAAATAGTTCTTGGCCCACACTTTGGGCCATCCTAATCAAGTCTCACCTCACTGAAGGTTCTAGCTGCAGAAATAGTTCTTTAAGGCCAAAAGTGGATCCTCATTAAAAAAAAAAAAAAAAAAAAAAAAAACGACAGGCACAATATCCAAGTATTTTCATACACAGCTCTTTAACTTTTCTGAGAAAACAACCTGCTCTCAAAAGCAATGACCTTCTGAGATCTACTTAAAATGGCTGTAAGCTTTACATCATTACTAACAGATAAGAGGATAATGAAGGAGAGACACACAGATTTACTAGGTGGTTTAGGGTCTAAGAATCATTGAAGTACTTCCTTTCCCACTAAAAGAAGGCTTTTTAACACTGTAAACTAAGATGTGGTAAGGGAACATACTGTCCTTGTCTGTGTTTACATTTATCTGAACTAAAATATATATTTATACAATATAAATTTCTTGAGTTAGATATGAAAAGGGAAATAATCAAAATGAATTATATGGCCCTAAATTTCACTGAAAATATGATGTTAATTAAATTACTTCTGAATCCAGATTCTACCATTCAAAGAAATCACTGAGTTAACAAGTTTATTCACTCTTATACAGTTTGGGGAAACTCCAAAAATTCTTTCTTAATTTATTTGAAAGCATATTTACAACAAAGAACAGGCACACATATTTTCTTCCAAACATAGCTGAATTCTATAGAAGAATATGATTAACATTAAGGAAAATAATTCTCAATAATAGTTTTTAAAAAAACAATTTCAAGCTTTCTATTACCTATTTCACTGTTGGTAAATGGGCAATTATTTGACAACCTTGCCTGGATCAAATGAAATTAATTACTGAAGAGAAATGAAAAATAATCATTTGTAAATAACCCAAGGAAAAAAGAAAATTGGAAAATTGAATCTGCAAGATAGCCTGAAGTGAGTCTGAAGAAGGCTCACCACAACCACAACTACCACATGACCAACCCCTTTTATCTGAAATTACAAGCTACTCACAAAAGATTAAAGGATAAAATCACTATGTATCAATATAATGTCTCTCAGTCCTAAAATGATAATAAGCATGCACACTGGAGTTCAAACATCCCAATTTGGCCATCTATTAGCCAAATTGGTGGCTATTTGATCTTGAGAAAGTTTCTTTAATTTCTCGTAGTCTTGGTTTCCTCATTTTTAGAATAAATATGAAATAAACCTCAGAGATGGCAAAAGGATTAAATAAGATGATGTCCACAGAGTACAGTGCCTCTTTTAGTAAGTGCTCAATTTACATGTGGTAAGACAGAACCTTCCACCAGGCAAAGTATTTTTGGGAAAAAAAGTACACAGCTACAATCAATAATACACACATTTATTGTCAATTAAAAATTAGCTAATTTTTTAAAAACCATATACTATTCTGCAAACATTTAGTAAAACCATGTTAATATTATGTGCGTGACAATATACTAAAAACTAAGATATAATTGTGAACAAGAAAACTATGTTTAGAGTCTACTAGAAGTGATAATTGGTCATTTTGGGTCAGCCCGGTGGCGCACTGGAGAGTGTGCCGCTTGGGAGAGCGGCGGTGCTCCCGCCGAGGGTTCGGATCCCATGTGGAGACCGGTTCCCGCTCACT